CATTTTCAGATCGCCGATTTTTCAGCCTAAAAGTGCTCCTCTGTGATGTCCCCCTCTCCCCCCTACTTAGTCTCCAAAAGTGTCCATAAAAAAGCGAAATTTGGGAAATTTTTGGGGGATTTTCAATGTCAAAAATCGATTGTGTCCCAGTGTCAGAATTGATCCAAAAAAATTGATTTTTGAGTCGAAAAAGCTATTTTTTGGCTCAAAATGACCTAGAAATCGAGCTTATCGGGTCAAATGTGACTTGGAAAATCGATTTTAAAAAAGCTAAAAATCACCCAAAAATTGATTTTTTCAATCAATTTTGACATGAAATATCGATTTTTTAGCCTTAAAAAATTCCTTGAAATTTCAAATTTTTGCCCTATTTTCCACCTATTTTTACTTGAAAAATAAGCATAATTTTCCCCTTCCCGACCCTGATTTTTATCGAATTTTTATCGATTTTCCCTGATTTTTTTGGTGCCAGTTTCAGCCATTTTCAGCCATGTTACTGGCTGAAAATTCAGAATTTTCGAGCTAAAAAATCGATTGTTTTTTCTTGGGATTTGTCTCTATTTATTTCGGTGATAAGATGATTTCTATTGATTTTTAAAAATCGATTTTTTGATGATTTTTTTTGTTGGCTGAAAATTTCAATGATTTTGGACTTTTTCGCTGCCACTTTTCATGATTCAGTTGCTCATGCACTGTGTTGCACCTATTTTTATTTGATAATCGCATTTTTTTTTGATACTAAAAATTTTGAAAAATCGATTTTTCAAAAAAAAAAAAAAAAATTACAGTACTGGCTTAAAATTGAAAAAATTAATGAACTTTTCAAAACCCGAAAATCAAAAAATTGTCAAAACTGAAAATTTAAATTTTCGAAAAAAAATTTTTTTTTTCCAATTTTTCAGAAATTCTGGAATTTTGGAATTCTAGAAGTTTTAATATTCTGAAGGCAACAACAAGCTGAAAAATCAGAAAACAAGCCTATTTTTAGGCTCTTGCTTCCCTCAGTTTTTTCTCGATGTATCTCTATTTTTCTCTCTCTCTCTCTCTCTCTCTCTCTCTCTCTCTCTCTCTCTCTCTCTCTCTCTCTCTCTCTCTCTCTCTCTCTCTCTCTCTCTCTCTCTCTCTCTCTCTCTCTCTCTCTCTCTCTCTCTCTCTCTCTCTCTCTCTCTCTCTCTC